TCGCTCCCGCGCCTTAGCCGGGGAGCGCGCCGGAGGGGCGGGAGAGGGCGCAGCGCGGCGCGGCCGGCGGGCGGCCCTGCTGAGCGGCGGCGGCGGCATGGGCGCGGGCACCGGCGGGGGCTGCGGGTGCCCGGCTCCCCGCCCGGCCCGGCCCGCTCCCAGCGCGCTGCCGTCGCAGCCCCAGCGGCTCGCGGGGAGGCCAACCCCGCAGCTGAAGCAACTTGCCTCGGACCCTCGGTGAGGAGGGGCGGCGCGCGGGGCCGGACGGGAGCAGGAGAGGCGTGCGGGCGCTATGCCTCCGGCCGGCGGTCTCCGCGCGCCGCGCCCCGCCGCGCTGCCCCGCAGCCTGTCCCGCCTGCGCGAGTGCCCGGGCCGCTCTCGCATCGTGCTGGCGCTCGGGGCCACGCAGATGGCGCTCGGATGCCTCATCGTGGCCGTCAGCTTCGCTGCGCTGGCGCTCACCACCTCGGCCCGCGTCCGCCACTCCTGCCCCTTCTGGGCCGGCTTCTCGGTGAGTGTCGGCGTCGGGCGCGCACGGGGCTACAGGCGGGGGCGAGCCCACCAACCCGCGGGCGCCAGGTTTGGGGCTCAAGCGCCCGGGCGAGCTGCCGCAGCCCGGGGTGCGGTTCAAAACTCGGGCAGGATAACTCCGGGGACCCGACTCACCGCTTGCCGCCCTGGGAGCGTGGCTTTCCCTTTCCTATCGCGCTGGTCCCGGAGTAACTTTTCTTCGAGGAAGCAGAAGCCAGGCGCCCGCGACCACCCGAGGGGCCTTCGGGTGAGGGTGGGCGGCGGGCGCGCTCCGGGGCGGGCGGCTGCACCCTGGGGCCGCCTGCTTCCCGGGGGCCGGAGACCCGCCGGGCGGGCTGGGCGGCCCTGAGCGAGGCGGGAGCAGGGGTGCGAGCCTGGTGCCGGGCCGCGGCTCCGTGCGCGGGGCCTCCGCGGCGGCTCTGGCCGGGCACTGGGGAGCAGGGCGCGTCGCGTCGGGTCGCGGGTCAGTCGAGGCGGCGGGAACCGGCCGGACCTGCTTTGGCCGCCCACCCGCTTGGCGTCCAGGACTTGGCGCGTCCCGCGTTTGGCGGGAACGGGCCGGCGAGCTCAGCGGGCGGCGGGCCTGGGCGAGCGAATGCTGGCGGCGTCGGGGGGCGTGTTTAGTGAGCTTCGTCGCCGCGAGGGTGACCGATTTTCAGGATTTTGACCCCCAAATTAGAGAATCCAGTGGCTGACAAACCTCGATAGGAGCAAAGCCACCAGGAAGTCCCATTAAAGGAAATGATTGTCTCCAAGAGTTAATTTTGGGGGGTATTTTTTGGTTGAAGTTGTTTTTTCCTGTATTACTGGAGAACGGACATATGGAAACGGTCATAATCGATGCAGAGCAGATAGTCTTTATAAAGAGAGGCACTTGTTCTGCGAACTCTTGACATCTGTAACTACAATTGGTTTCTGGTGCTGGAGTACATCTTATGGGTTTAAACTGTAAACCCAGTGTGTTTAAGTTCCATCTCCAGAAATCCAAACCAAGCCTTTGTAACGAATGTTTGCTGTTTGTTGTTGAGTTTTGAAATTCAAAAATTCTGTCCAGCTTCGCTTTCTGTTGTTGTTGTTCTTTTGTAATGGCCTTTGTTCTCTGAGTCCGATGCCCGGCTGGTAAAATGAGATCTGAGCAGAACTGACTCTGTGACACCCTGATCGATACAGGTATGGTGGTTCATCCTAATGGGGGTATTAATTTTCAAAGCTTATTTCAGACCAGGGGTGAGTCTTGGAGAGCTGATTAGGCCATAGCTCGCAGTGTTCAAATCAAAGACAGGGGTTTGGAAGCAAGACTCAGAAGTCATGATTAAAACGGGCCCCTGTATAGTCTTCCTACCTCTGTAGCTCAGTTTTTAGCATGATTTAGTATGCATTGTTTCCATGTGGTCTGTCTAGTGGGCGCGAGTTTGTGTCTGCTGGAGCGGCCTACAGGTGGCAGACTGGTAAATGAGCTTTTCTTCCTGGCTTCTCCCTGGGCCTCTGCTTCTCCACCTAGTCCTAGCTATGTGGCTTTGGCACTTTCAAAGGGCATGGAAAAAGAGCTGCCTTTTAATAATAAACTTAAAAGGGAAAGCACTCGTCAAAACCGGTAGAAAAGCTGTTTATGTGAAAAATGTACATTCACTGCATTTTAGTCTAAAGAGTTAAATAAATATGTAATCCATGGATTCAGTTTGGGTGATTCATGGTTATTCCTTTCCACAGCTATAACCTATTAGTCCTAACTTCCTGCGATTCAGAATAATTCCACACGTGTCTGCTGTGTGCAGACGTGCCTCTAGGCTCTGTGGACAACAGTGAACAACATTCTCTGCTTACGTTTTAGAGGTTGTAGATTCTGCTCTCCGTCCACGTCCCGCTCCCCGCCTCTTTACACCCACTGTTTCACGTGCTAGTTTTCTTGAAACTGAATCTACCACATGCACCTTTACACTTCTTTCCAAACAGTATATACCATTTTTTACATATGACCTCTGCCCTTTGCAGACATGGTGGTTGGTTCCAGTGATGTTGGGACAGGTCTGCATGTTGGCGTGGCTTTCAGCACTAACACTGGCCCCTTGCCATGGGTGTGCCTGCCTGCCTGGACCTGGAAACCACTTTGCAAGGATAGTTTTCTTTTACGAATGGTGACTAAGATGGCCGGCTTTACACCAAAATCTGTTCTGCGTGGTTTAGGGCTGCCCTGTGTTTCCTCTGCATTTCCTGAAATAAGAGGTGTGGACTCTTTAGCACTCTCTAGGTTGCTAGGCCTTCTCTGTGGTGTGTCCATGGTGAAGAACCATTGTAAAAATAATTTTCCTTTATTGAAGAAAAAACAATACCCAAGAAAATGGCTTACGTTTATTGAGCACATACTGTGTGCCAGGCGTTAAGCTGAGTGTTTTTCGTGCTGCGATAGCACATTTTGTCTGTGGCCCCTGGCGCCCCTGCTCTTGCACAGTTCCCTGCACTTGAACTTGGACTGGACCTCTGGCTGGCCTTAGCCACTGGGATGCAGCAGAACTAAGGCTGTCTCCAGGGCTAGGCCTAAGCCCTGAGATGTCCTGGCAGCTTCTGCAGAGTCCACTGAGGTGAAGAGGGATTAAGGAACTTGCTGTATTAGTCAGGGTTCTCCAGAAAAAGAGAACCAATAAATACATATGAGCAAGCTGGAGACCCAGGCACGCTGCTGGTATAATTCAGTCCAAGTCCAAAGGCCCAGGAACTGGAGGGCCCATGGTGTAATTCCCAGCCTGGCCCCAAAGCCTGAGGACCAGGGGTGCTGATGGCCGAGGGCAGGAGCAGATGGATGTCCCAGCTCAGAGAGAGTGAATCTGCCCTTGTTACGCCTTTTTGTCCTACTCAGGCCCTCACTGGCTTGGATGAGGCCCATCTGCGTGGATAAAGGTGACCTTCTTTACTCAGCCTGCTGATTTCAGTGCTAATCTCTTCTAGAGACACCCTCTCAGACACACCCCCAAATGATGTTTTCCTGTCTATCTGGGCATCCCTTGGTCTAGTCAAGTGGATACATAAAATTAACCTTCATGCCTGCCCAAGGTCACACCTGGCCAATGTCAGGTTTGCACTTTTTTTTTTTTAACATCTTTTTTCCAGTATAATTGCTTTACAGTGTTGTGTTAGTTTGTGCTGTACAACAAAGTGAATCAGCTGTCTGTATACATATATCCCCATATCCCCTCCCTCTTGCGCCTCCCTCCCACCCTCCCTACCCCACCCCTCTGGGGGTTAAAAAGCACCGAGCTGATCTCCCTGAGGTGGATGGACCTAGAGTCTGTCATACAGAGTGAAGTAAGTTGGAAAGAGAAAAACAAATACTGTATGCTAACACATATACATGGAATCTTAAAAAAAAAAAATGGTTCTGATGAACCTAGGAGCAGGACAGCAATAAAGACGCAGGTTTGCACTTAGTTGCTCTGACTTGTGAGGCCACAGTCCTAGCCATTAGACTTAATTGCCCCCCAGGCAGAAGCTGATGGGGGGTGGGGTGGTGGAATAGAGCAGGCTGTAAAGGGTCAAAGGTAGAGCCTCCACAGGGAGGACACACCTCTGTTTCTTAGGAAAAGCACAAAATATGTGTAGAAAGGTGATGATTCAAGAGCACTTTGGGGAGGCATGAAATTAGGGAAATTGAGGAAGTCTGAGGATCAGGGACAGGGCTGGGGGGTCCTTGGCAAGCTTGGAAACGGGAAGGGGCGGCAGGTCTGGCCAGGGAGCAGCTGCTGTTTCAGTGACTTGAGAACCACCTGCAAATGGTAGTCCTGTCCTGGGTCCCTGCCATCCAGTTGGAAATTAGGGGTGGGCTGACTTCCCCAGGGGATAAATGCTTGGCCCGTTTTGAGAGATGATGATCTATATGAACAGTTTAGAAGACTACCAGGGCTGTGTGTGTTATTTTAAATGATCATCGAATTCATTTTTTTTTTAAAAGTGAACCTTATATCATAGAATAGACTAAACAGGTTAGTATATGTAATAAAAAATATTAAAAATGGAATTAAAGGGGAGGGGAAGGAAATCTGCAGTGCTGCCTCTGGCACTAGTGGAGGTCTTGAGTAGGTATCCTTTGATAGACCAGCCTCATTCTTTTTCTTTGAAGTTCTCTTCATGCCCAGGACATCAGCGACAAATAAGTACCCTGTGAATTATCCACATTGCCAGTTACCCGTGTTGATAAAGACATAGCCAGACATAGCCCTTCGGAGCTGACTGTTTATGCACGTGTGTGTATGTATTTTTTTTCCTTTAAAAGCATCACTATACTCCAAAAGCAACAGATGCTTGTTGCAATAACTGAAAACACAAAAGGGTATAAAGAAAATGGCGACAGTGCCTTCTTCCATCCCAATTCTGTACCCACAGGTAACCTGCACTGATGGTGTTGTTTCATGTGACCTTTCCATACTTTCCTTTACAATCACAAAAATATTAGGATTTATGTATATGTGTGGAATATGTCTCTTTTCTTTTAAATAATCTTTACAAGAGGTCATACTACACACCTTACTCCGTGGCTTCTTTTTTTTCTTTTATTTCGTGTATAATAAATATTCCCA